AGCGCGGCCGCGCGGGAGGGAGAGGCGGCGGCGCGCAGCCGGCCCCGGGGGACCCTCGCCGAAGACCTCCCCGAATCGCCCGGGCACCGGGGCGCACGACAGGGCTTCAGGGAACGGCTCCCGGGGCCGTTAGTTCGCACATCGGGCCCGCCTCTGCGGTACAGGTGGGGACCGAGGCGCAGCGGCCGGAGAGGTCCCTGGAGAACCGATGTTCTCTCTCGCTGCCCCGCTGCCTCCTGGCCTCTCGCTCTGTCGGTTCTGACCCACACTGAAGTCTGACAAGGAGCGGGACCCTCCCCCTCCCCTTCTGTGCGCCTCCACTTTCCCTCCTGACAAATGGGAAGGAAAATGCGACAGAGGCACCAGCGGGGCCAGGTCTGGCGATCCTCTGAGCAGCGGACACGCGCTGACACCTTCCCGAGCGTCCACCTGCGTGGCGATCGCAGCAGAACCGACTCTGGAGGGTGAAGGGGCGGAGACTGGGTCACCCCCTTCCCCTTCCCTGCTGGCGAGGGGCGGGGCGGGGCCTCGGCCGACCTTGGCACCGCCTCCCTCTGGCCCTGCCTCCCCCTGGCCCCTTCTCCAGGCCCCGGGGAGGAGAGGACGGGAGGGCGGGCGAAAACCGAGCTAAGACCTGGCCTCGGGCTCGAGCACAGCCTGGGAGCCGCGGCCCTGCTTGCCAAGTCGGGTTAAACCTGAGAATGTGACTGAGCCGCGGCGCCGCTTCTCTCCGCCTGCTCCTCCTCTGTACCATCAATACTGTTCTCTCCCCGAGATCTAATGCCAAGAAGGCCAGACCTGCATCCAGTTCACCCGGGGCTTGATGATAACTGCTTCATGGACGAGCGACGTGACTCTAGTATATTGCTGTCAGGGCCCATCCAGTCGCCTATATCTCGTAGCGACTATGAACAGATCTGAACAGCGCCCTATCTTGCTCCATTCTCACCGTCTCTGAGCTGCTGAAGCCCCTTGTCACAGTCACTACCCCAGCTCTTCCTTTCCTTCTCTGACCCTCCACTTTCCCCGGCGTGTTGTGTTGTCTTCTCCAACACCAGCCCTTCCTGACAACCAGCACGCGGGAAAGATGTGAGACCAACTTTCCGCCTCCTGCCTCTGTGGAGCACTCTGGTTGCAGTTCCTTCGAGGCTGACGTCTTTGTTCGTCAGTCCCCGGGACACTGAGCGCTCCGACACCACAACCTCGGGCTGCAGTTTCTGTGAAATGAAGCCTTTGGACTCTGGGTCCCATCCTTCTCTTCAGGCGGCTGGGATCCGCTTATACAAGTGGAGGTGGGGAAAGAGGGAAGGATTTACATTTTAAGGAGGATCACATCCTCTGTTGCCAAGGTGAGGGGCTGACGGCTAATTTCCAAGTATTAGTGCACTGAGCCAGAAGCTGTGACCTCCCTACAGCCTACACTTCAATCGCAGCTCGCTCCCTCTCCTCTCTCTCCCCTCTCTCTCTCTTCTCTCCCCCTCTTTCTTTCTTTCTCTCTCTTCTCTCTCTTTCTATTCTCACTCTCCTCCTCCTCTTCCTTCTTCTTCTCTCTTCTCTTCTCTTCTCTTCTCTTCTCTTCTCTTCTCTTCTCTTCTCTTCTCTTCTCTTCTCTTCTCTTCTCTTCTCTTCTCTTCTCTTC